TGAGAGTCGGACATATTTTACGCACATTTTTATGTCCTAGCTATGATCATGTATATTTATTCAGTTATGTATGCATGTTATGTATTCGTATTTCGGATGCTTCCGCTAGCCAGCTTTCTAGACAGTGCGAGACAGTACAGACTATGCATGTTTAATTCTATTATCCGCAGCGGATAGCTTGGTTGCATGTTTTATATATGTCTGTGAGCCAGTTATGTTAAGTTTTTATCTGTGACATCCCGCAATAAGTCAGTATTTTCGAAACCAAGCTCGCACGTTCTTTCAAAAATAAAAACAAAAATTTTACTCTGATTTTTTAAAGCTAGTAAGGTGGGGTGTGACACCAAGCCATACCGAGACTTGATCGGGCCCTAATGATGATGCAAATTCGTAAGCTAAACCCGCCCACTCTGACGGAGAAAGAAGAGCCAGCACACGTCAATGAATGGTTCCTGAGACTCAAAAGCATCTTCGATGTTCTGTGGTGTACTGATGAGCATAAGGTCCCATGCGGCCAATTCCACATGGTGGAGGACGCAGGGAGATGGTGGACCACGTACTGGCGATCGAAGCCGGCAGCCGAGCGCACAGCTCTTACATGGGATCAACTTCGAGTTATCGTAGCAGAAAAGTACTACCCCCAGCACTACCATGAGCAAATTGAGAGTGAGTTCTGGGATCTGGTGCAAGGAAACATGATTGTGGACGAGTACGAGCGGGAGTTCACTCGCATGGGCTATTTTGTGGAGCACCTAGTGGACACGAAGGAGAAACGTGCAAAGCGATTTCACAACAGCCTCCGACCTGAGATTCGTCATCTAGTGGCAAGCCATGGTACACTGACGTACGCCGATACCGTCGATAGGGTACAAAAAATCACCGTGAACATTAGCCTAGAGAAGGAGAAGAAGGTAATACAACCCGTCACTAATCAACCGGCGGTGAATCCAAAGAAGAGGAAGTGGGATCAACCATAAAAGAAGCAAGGAGACGGCGCTCGAGATGCACAACCACAGCCTCTGCAGCAAGTGCCCGCTGCCCAAGCACAAGTATGCACTAGATGTGGAAAAGGACATCGAGGGGAGTGCTTGATGGGCCAGAACATCTGCTATCAATGCAAGAAGCCATGGCACATTTGCTTCCAATGCCCGTAGTATGCCCGAGGGAAAAATCCCCCACCACCACAAGTCCAGCGACAATCGATTCAACAACAGCAAGAACCACCGAGGCGTGGAGGAGGGGACGAGCAAGGGTCTACATGCTAGCAAAAAATGAGGTCGAACTGAGACAAGATTGAACAAACAAGTCGTGGACTAGAAGTTGAAGAAGTTCATTTTATTTTGAGAGTTTAAGACTATTTGAATTTTAATTTTTTCCCTTTGGCAAACTTTTCGCCTATTTTGATTTGAGAACAAGTTTGAGATTATTGTTGTTAGTTATTTCATTTAGAACAAGCCCATATCCTTTGAAGATCTTTTTAAGATTAAGTATTTATTTTGGCATATCCCTTGTCTCGTTAGATTTCTGTTCGAGTATTAAATGATTTTTGTCTATAGATGGTACGTGCACTGAGGACCAGTAGGAACCCGGGGTTTATGCCCTGGAAGCATTACTGCAAAGAAGCTTAAAGAGTTCGAGCGGCTTGCGTGCAAGGAGGAGAAAACAGTAGGAGAAAACATCCAGGAAATACTCCATCGATTGGTGGAGCTAAGGAGTAGACGTGCAAATATTTTGTCCCATTGGGACGCAAACAAGAAGCTCGTCGACATTCTGCCACCGATATGGAAAGCTGAGGCGAACAACATTTACAACGAGCTATGGGAGGAGAACAGGAGAATTCCACTTAATAGAGGAATGTCGGTAGTGAACTTCTATGACTTGGGTAGTACAGGTGGGACGACTATGGGAGGAAAGGGAAATACCTCTTGAAACAGAACTGGAGCCGACTGAAGAAGAGCCTCGTATGGAAAGTGATTCGAGTCAAGGAAGCAATTAGGTACCTACCATTTAGCCTACCTCTAGCTAGAAAAGCTTGATAATTCTAGATGATCTTATTTCTGAGGACGGAAATATTTTAAGGAGGATAAAATGTAGCGCCCCGATTTATTTTAAAGAGCATAATTAATTTCATGCATTTATATTTTATTTCTAAGCTCGACATTAATAATTTTAAGGAGAAATTAAGTGGACATCCTCGTCTATTTAATTTTAATAATAAATAGAAATTAAGTAGATGTCCCCATCTATTTAATTTTGCAAATTAAAATCCCTGTAATCATAATTTTTATTTATTAATTAAAATCATAAGTAATAAAGGAGAAGGAGTATTAATCTAAGATGATATGGAGCACAAAAACTCGGCCCCCCTCATTGTTTAGCAGTGAGAATCGAAAAAAAAAAGGAGAGAGAAAGAGATCTAGATTCATCCAATATTTTTCCTTCTTCGCCAAGTAAAAGGAATCATTTTCCTACCAATATAAAGAATCTCTTATTTTTCNCGACCACCCTGAGCAGCACCCCGTGACAAGAACCCAGCCGCAGCAAGAAGCCAGCCCCGCGAGCAGCAGCCCCGAGCCGACGCGAGCGCCAGCCGTCTAAAGCCGAGGCCATTCCTTACGAGCTGATCTTTTTTCCCTTTTTCCCGAGCGAGGTAAACCGACCTTTTTCCTATATTGGACTGAGATTTATGTATTGTAAACATCAATAAGATTAAAGATTAATAAGAGAGTAAAGAAAATGAAGAAAGAAAGATTCAAGTTTGATCTTGGATCAATTGTTTACAAAGTGGTTTATAAAAGTATATAAAATCTGAAAAATTGAATAACTATGCTTGCTTAAGATTTAGGATTAATCGAGAATTTTTGGGATAAGTCTATGCTTATGAATGTTAATGAAAAGACAAGTAAATTCGATGTCTTATGCATGCTTCTATTGATCCTTGTTCATGTTTATGTGATTGGGAGTAGATTCCGGAAATTATGTGATATTGATCATGTTTTGGAGATGTGAAAATAATATTTAAAAGTTTGATTTAAGTTATGCATGTTTTAAAATCGCTGCGCATGACGAGTTTGGCCAGATTCTTGGTATAGTTGCAAAAACGGATTTTACCTTTTATATGCATGATTATGTGATCAAGCTAAGAAATCAATAATTTTCAAGATTTTAAACAAGTTTTGATTTAAAGTTCAGGAGAGGTCCAGCAAGGCAACGAAAATCAATTGGTTTTCTCAAAGACTAAGATATGTTAAAGTTCTTCAATAAGCTATTTAAAATACGCCTTCCAATAATGTAGATAGTCGAGGAGTCGAGCCCTCAAATTTTCTAGAGCTTACTTAATAGATCAAGTCAACTTCACTACGAGGTGGAGAAAATCTATGCTGTGTTTACATCTATATATATATAATTACTAGCTAATAGAATTTAATAAAACCTATTTAATTTTACCTATGTGACAATTTAACAATTTTTCCTCCAAAAACCGTTACATTTTGATGTATTTAATCTTTCATTTAATCATTAAATAATTAATACTCATCACTTCAAAATTACAAAAATCATTTTAAACTTTTGATTAATGACAGTTGACCATATAATATGTTGACCGTATAATGTGATTAGATGTTATTATTGTTGTTACATTTAATTTTTTTTTTTTAAAATAAAAAATATATTTGAAATTCCTAAATAAATAATAATAATTCACAAATAAAAGACGTACCAAAATATACATTACATCCAATCAGATAAACGCAATTTAAAAAAAAAAATATTCCAACTCTTTTAATTGTAAATTTGGTCTACAAAAAAGTGAAAGAAAAATAATTAATCATTATATGTACAGACTCACAATAATTTATTTATATCTGTGCAAATGCACAGGTCGAATACTAGTTCTTTATAATTGTTTATACTATGGTTGAGATATGTTGTTTTTTTAATTTCTATGAATGAAGTCTTCCGACTTTTGGGCAACCATATGTCGGGAGAGCGAGGATAACTAAGAATGAAGCCTTCGGACTTTTGGGCAACCATTTGTCGGAAGAGCGAGGTAAAGCTATGATACGATTATTCATGTTGCATGTTGTTGTAAGGTTATGGGTGGTTATTACATTGAATGTCTATGTAGTATGTTTTCCTCACTGAGTAAGTGGAAATGCTCACCCCTATTGTTTTCCACACCCAGGTTATACGAGTTCGCAATGGAGCGATGGCGAGGGTGGTCAAAATAAATTCAATTCTGAGTTCTGCTGTTTTTAAGTTATTTTCAGAATATTAAACCTTTAATAAGTTTTAAAATTGCATGGTTAAGACTTAGTTGAGTATATTTTATTTATGAACAAGTTTATTACACAAAGTTTGATGATTGAGCATGCGATGAGTTATGCGATGCTCAGATGAAGAGTTAGTTTTAAAGTTTTCGAGGTTATTACAAGTTTTAAAGTAGTAGTGCGATTGAGCTTATTAAATGATTTAAAAGAAAAGACAAATTTATTCGAGAAATTTAAAGTATTAGAAATGGGGCGCTACAATTCTATAGGATTTTCCTATTGATGCAGACAATATTGCCTTCTGATTAATTTCTTTTTAACACGTGCATTAAATATTTCACCATGGTTTCATGATGTTTTCCTTATGCGGTTACAATTACATTTGGAAGCACAAAAAATCATGCATTCATTAAGAGAAAATAAACATGATGTTTTCCTTATGCGGCTACAATTACATTTTGGAAGCACAAAAAATCATGCATTCATTTAGAGAAAATAAACATCACATTGCGGTTACAATTACATTTGGAAGCACAAAAAATCATGCATTCATTTGGAGAAAATAAACATCACATTGCCACTGCCTATTGGAGAATATCATAAATGTGGAATTAAAGATAATAATGGAGTCAATTTTGGATTCCAAACTTCCATTCGTTTATATGTAAAACACAAAATATACACTCGTCTATATGTACTTAAGCCAATTATTATTATAGTGTACATTACATGTCAATAATTAGATTGGGGCTAGGGTTTGTTGCGGTGCAAGGGCAAGAGGTGATTCTGGAATGGTCATCATCCATGGATTTTGAAGGCAGTAAGAAGGAAAGTGAGAAGATGGCATTAAGATGGGGGCTGCAGAGAACCGTTGAGTTGGGATGGAAAAATGTCACATGCACAGTTGCTGATATGAAGATCAAAATCCAGTGGGTGTCAATGCTGAAACAAGATTCTGATAATTTAGTTGTGGGTGATGACATTCGTGTGTTGCTATCTTTCTTTGACCATTGTAGCTTTGGTGTGGACTCTGTAATTTTCTTAATGTTTCTAGTTGTTTAGCCATTAGGGCTTTGCAGGGGATGGTTGATCCATTCCCCTGGGTTTGTCACCTTCATCTGTTGTTGTAAAAGATGGTATTGCTTGTAACCATTTGGTTTCTGGATGTTTTCTTGTGAGACTGAGAAATAAAATTTGTTTATCGTTGAAAAAAATAAATAAAAATAAATAAAAAAATAAAAAATAAAAAATAAAGAACCCACTAAATTTAAAACTCAGTCGGCCATGTCAACACACAATTTCCAAAATTCGATATAAACTTATGCCTCCTGCATTGTAATTTGTAATATGATCAAAAAGATGATATCACAGCACAGTCCACTTCTGTTCAACCAAAGTAGGTCCAGAAGTGGAGTTGAGCTGCTTTTCCGTGGACAAAAAATTTCCCACGAAACAGAGAGCAATTTTATTTCGAATTTAGAAAATATGGAGAAAAATTCACATCCATATCGACCAACAAGCCGACAAATTCAGACGGGCGGCTAGAATTCAATGATGGCGGCACCACTCGACGGCTTGGATGCAAAAATATAAAGCCCGAGATCGTCTTTCTTGATCACCCCTTTGTCAATTCTTGACCGAAAATATTGCTCCTGCAATGTAAATGAACAGCATTCATTATTTCCCATAGGTTTCAATATTAGAATCTCCACTTTTGTAGGCATTTCATCAGATGCGATCCGTTCCAGTAAGCCTTATATTAAATCGACATCACTTGACATATTTCTGCAGAGCAATTACACATACATTTTGAATTTATCATATTTTCGAAGAATTTGCAAACGCTAACCTTCAAATTAATGATAAATTGGGGAACAATATTTTCCTTCACGAGGGCAACTGCACAACCACCCCATCCAGCCCCAGTAAGCCTTGCTCCAAAGGCACCGTTATCACGACAAATCTTGACGAGCTCTTCCAATTCAGGGCAACTGATTATGGATTATACAAAGCTAAAGTAAGTTCACAATTCTTTTTTTACATAAATCGAGTTTATAATAAGTTTTTTAGTCGGGAGAGAGGATTTGTGTTGTACCTGCACTCGTACAACACGCTGCAACTATGGTGGCTCTCGTTCATCAGGTCCCCAAGTTTCTTGAGTGTCTCTTCCTCACTTGCAAATATGAAAAGTTCGAAAAATTTATAAACTTACACCTATGTTCTTTAAAAAGAAAAGCTCACTCGGGACTTGTTAGAAATTCAATATGAGCGCCTATATAACACAGGATATCTTAAGAGAGTAATGGAGTATATTTTGTTTAATGTGGAGGCTGAGTATATAAAAGCAATGATAAGTATTGGCATGATTTGAAGTCGTGAAGTATTTAACGGAAAATGGCAAACAAACGATAAGAGTCGATACAGTACATAGAAAAAATTATACAGCAGCTGATGAAATTAACTCACCTCAAGTTTGATGATACAGCATCTTTGAAAGCATAGACACGTTTAGCTTCTGAGTAGACATGAGCAGCTCTCTGCAAATTGTACAAGGCATGTGTTATAAGAACATAATCGAAAAAAAAAAAAGTGTCCCCAGAATGTTCGGAATTCATCCAAAGTAATACGACAACAAAGATCACCAACGGCCAAGCAACACGAGCACAATGACCATCAAATGTTCTTTAAAAAAAGAAAAAGGAAAATTTTGTGTCCAAAAACTGCATAATGACCTGATGTAACTTAAAATGCTTGGCAGCCCTAAGCACATCCAAGGAAGTAGGAGAATCGGCAAAGACGGCATGCAACTTTTCCTNAAAGATGAGAGAAAGAGGTACCTTGACAGCAAGAACTGGATCAGAGGAGCCACATGTGCCGGCAAATGCTACACAGAGTCCCTCAACATCTGAAAGCGTCTTCACCTTTGCTATTGCTTCTTGGGTACCCATCCCAAGTCTTATCCCCAACACAATCTGCAATAGACCAATAATCAAATTAGTTCTTTCTAAATGAAAATATATTGTAAATACGAAAAAGTGGAAACTGTGCACAATCCAAAATTTTGTCTCCAGGTAGAGGTACAACTAAAAATAAATTGCATAAAGTAATAAAAACTTACAGAAGCTAAACGGCACTCGACAACCCTGTTGTTGTAGTTAGTTGCAGCAGTAACTGCTTTCTGAGACTCGGCCAATGAGTGTGCAATAACAAACGAGCCGCCCGAAGGAAGCTCAACCTCGGAAGCACGAATAGGGTTGAAATCAATAAGTGCTGCAAATCCGGATTGAGCCATAACGGATATTGCCTGTACTAGTCAAATTCAAACCTGTCGTGAGAACCAAATACGAAATGTGTATATCTGGCATGACGTAAGAGTTACATATTTTTTCAAATTCGATTATACTTTGAATGTGTTAATTATTTACCTGGTCCATTCCACCGGATTGAGTTCCAATGTGTCTTTCACATTCGCAAGTTAGCTGCGCAAGTTCTTTCTGAAAAGCAAAAACATAGTTCAACTCATGAATGCAGACCTCATGACGCCTTCAGTAAAAGGGTCCTTTATATGGTATATAATACAATTTGAGATAATGTCCAATTATCTCAAAGTTAGAGAAAACAGGGTCACCTTGGGAAAACTTGCACCTAAAACTGCCATTATAGCAATTGTAGAGGAGCAAACAAATGCAGCAGAGCTGGACAAACCAGATCCTACATAAGGAAAGATACCAACTCCAATATTTGAATAAAAGTAATCACTAATACCTTGTTCATTAAGAACTTGACTTATATGCAAATACGTATAGATAAGATGAAATTACCAGTTGGAACAACACCATCAACAACAACCTCGAGTCCAACTGTTTCACCAACGTCTATTCTCTTCGATTTTGCATACTCATAGAAGCCTTTGTACCTGAACAGATATATCATAAGTTAGAATCTGTAAATTACCCTTTTCACTTATTATCATCATGATCTACTGAAACTGGAAACTGCTAAGCCAAGCAAACAATACTCAGTTACCAAACATTGATTGAAATTTATTTCGGGAAATATAACCTGTTTGAGTGTAATTTCAAGAGATACAGAGGGCATCATACCCACAAATAAAATAGTGACCCCATCTGTGGTTCTTCAAGTCAATTTCCTGAAAAAGCAACATAGCACTCTTTCAATAAGTTATAATGGATCAGGTGACAGAAACATAGATCATTAAGTGGGCTCTTGTGCGTTTTTATTTTATTTTATTTATTTATTTATTTTTTTTAAATCAAGAGTGGGACACATATTCTTCTATATCCAGTTAGACGTAAGGAACAATGTTCTTTTACTTCCAGATAAGGCGTTATCTAAGGTAATTAAGCTACATCAAACTGCACTGATAGTCCAAGCCAAGATCATATTTTTCTTGCATGGCAATGCTAACAACTCCATATCTCAATTCTTTTCCTTAAGCAAATCTCAACAACCAAATTCTGTAGCACAAATTCTCAGCTCAAATATAGAAAGTAATAAAACAAATTAGAAGCAAACTAAAGTAAGCAAAAACCTCATTTCGTTTTTGCAATATTCATGGCACAAAGCATTAGTTATATAAACACACCAGAAAAGCAACCTCAAAACTGCACAACTCACTCAAACACTGGAAATTATAACTAATTTTACAAAAACTAAATATATGTACCATAAGCACTCAACTAACTGCCCAAAAGAACAATCATTCTGCCCTCTCATTATAACATAAGATGAGCACACATCGAAAGTGAGAATAGCGACAAATTCCACTACACATGCTACGGATCAGCTGCATAAACACATACAAGACAATATATATCTTTACGTATACAAAGAACAATTACGGAAAAAGTGGACCAGGCACTCATTGAACCATACCTGATCTGGATCAGCAGGGTAAGTACATAGAGAATATTTTTCACTATTCACATTAGCAATCTTGAGAACTTTATCCCCTTTAACTTTTCGAATGGCTACAATGGTATCCTGTCTGATTGCCATTGGCAACACCGAGTAACCTTCATAGTCTATGTGCTCTCCAATCAAATTCACTCTCCCTACACAAGGGGCAGAATTAAAAATAAAGAAATAACAATTGTCACTCAGCTAATTTCGAACATCACTTCAAAAGAGATGAAATATAGAGGACCTAACATCAAATTCACCCACGAATTTGAAACCAACGCCACAAGTAAATGACATTCTGAATAGAACCACCTGGACTTATACCTGGAGATCGGGCAAAGATGTCAGGGGCATGGCCAAAGAACTCAACAAATTTCGATTTCAATCTGTTGAAGCGGAGCTCCGCCTCTTCGAGCTGCGACCCGGTTCCGTAAACGGGTTCGAGAGACTTGAAAACGGGAACTGGAAGCTCCTCGTGTCTCGCCATTGATTCTGCAGGAAGATTCTGTACGCCGCGAGGAGGAAAGAGATTGATACCAACTATTAATCTCTATACGGAATGCTAAAGAGAGAAATGTACCAAGTTCAGTACAATTTTGGAGATTTGTGGGAGCGCTTTTGTTGGGACTTGTTGGGACTCTTGGGACGAGTCTGGATAAAAAAGTGACTTTTTTTCCTTTTGTTTTTTACCCTGTGTTTGGTTCGGGGAAATAGGGGAGGGGAAGGGGGGGAAGGAATATTTTTATTTTCCTCCGTTTAGTTCAACTTTTAACAAGAAAGGAGAGTAAAATTTTCCCCTCTATTCTTCACCAGACGAAAAATCAGTTCCCCTCTAATTTTGGGAGGATTTGAAGGGAAAGTTAAGTCTTACACTTTTTTGTATTAATGTGCTCTTATTAATTTATTATAATTACTAAATTATCCAATATAAATAAAATATAAATAAAGATATATTTATCTATATAATTTTATTTTCCCTCCCCTTCATCTTCTAACCAAACAAGGTTAATCATTTTCATTCACTTCCCCTTTTACAAAATCCCTTCAAACAAGGTAAAATTATATTCCCTCCCTTCTCTTCCCCTCTCCTCCCTTCCATTAAATCACCTCTCCTTCCCTCTCTTCCTCTCCTTTGAAACAAACATAGCCTTAGGTTGAAAGTCCAAACAAAGAAAGAAATGAAAGATAAGCCTTTTATTGTTCAATCGAAAGGGAGAAAGGGAAAGGGATTCTTGATGAAGTTGTAAAGGCTGACAACAGATAATTATGAATTGTGGAATAGCCCTATAATCTTGGGTCATCCGCAAAATTTCATGAGTGGATAATCAAATGGATAAGTTAAACTCCTGATGACGGCAAGCATAATTGAGTACATCATCATGCTAAACTGGTGAAGTTATAAAACTAAGGCCTTGGCAATCAGCGGTTAGCAGTTAGCTGTGTTTTGACCAGTTGATTGTTTTAACTATTTTGACCGCAAATTAGATTAGCGGATTGTGTTAAAGCGTTTGGTAAAATTAGCTGATTGATGTTAATAAGTTGAATAAAATAATGCGAGTAAATATATAATTACCCAAATAATAATAATAATAACAATAATAATAATAATAATAATAATAATAATAATAATAATCATTTATTAAATATATATATAGAGGGAGAGAATTATAACATAACTTTTTTTAAAATAATGACATATGTTCACTTATTTTGTTATATTGAAAAATAAAAAGTTTCAGATAAGAATACAAAATTAATGAAAGTAGCCTTTAAGCATGCCAACCCATTAAGAACAAAAAAAAATTAAAATAATTATCGATAAAAAATAGAATCTAAAAATACTTATTCAATCATTATAGATTGAAGGGCCTAATTCTTAAAACAAATAATAAAATAAAATAAAAAAGCAATTGCATGTGGGATGTGAATCATCACTGCTACCAGGGACGGATGCACTAGGCCTGGGCTGGGCTGAAGCCCAGGCCTTTTAATTTTTTTTTACTACTACTAAGTTTGATTTTTCTTTGTTTTTTTATTCCTAGCCCAGCCCAACAAAAATAAATAAAGAACTAAGGCCCAAATATACCAACTTCCTAAATCCTCTTATGTCTTAAGGCCCTGCTCGTTATCAATTATCACCTCATCCTCACAAGTCATAACAATTAAGACCTAAAAAAAATTGTTCTCTTTTTCGCTTCTTCCCTCCCGCCCCGACTCCCTCTCAAGTCTCCATTGTTGGACTTATAATTTCTACAGCGGACTGCGTTCACCTTCACTCACCAACCACTGAAGTCGGCCATCCGATTCAGAAGGTACCAAAAAATAAAAATGTCTTTACTTCACAAACCCTAGATGGCTAGATTGTGCATTGTGAAGGGAGAAAAATAGCTTATGAGGTTTAACTTGTGAGACATCCATTATTGAGTGCTTGTTCTAGAAAGGAAAAGAGAACTTTGAAGCCTAATTGCTTGAGCCCAGAAACATTCATAAGATTAGTCTGCGATTTTTAATTTATTATTATTTTTTTTCTGGATTTTGAGCAATTGGGTGTGTTGAGATTTAGCATTTGCTTCAAATTTTTAGTACGGAGTGTACAAGATCAAATTAATTTACACTTGTGTGGCTGTATAATTCACTTGCACTGATTTAGTCAATTAACTCATTAAATGTTTACATAACGTAAGAAACCCAAGAAAAAATAGTTTTGAATTCGTATGTTGAGAATCAGTGCCAACTTTTATAATAATTTATGATGATTGGATTGAAAATTGAAAAAGAAAATAAGGCTAATATCAAAATTATGAATGTTAGAGTTTTAAAATTGTAAATCACTTGCTATTTAATATTATGTATGGCTGGGTTAATATTTGAATTAATATTATTATTTTGTAAAATTATTTTTTCTTTGGTTGGGTCAATATTTGAATTAAATGTACATTTTTGTCCTAATATGTTTAGCAATATCATTTGTAGGCAAATATATTTTTCAACGATATGGTGTCTACTTCATTTTTGAACGGTTGATCATGAGTATAGAATGTTGAAATGGTTAGTTCAAAAATTTATGTGATTTTTATGAAAAATGAGTATCTAAAATTCTAGCCCAGTCTATTCTTAATTTCTAGATCCATCCCTGACTGCTACAACATACAAACACCCCAAAAAATATGTACTTTTTACATAATTAAGAAATGAATTTGAAACCAACTAAACCCAAACACTGCTCCATGCAGCATCTCTAAAATTGGCGTTTCGGACAAAACAGCCATTACCACCAGCTCTTTTACCAAACAATATTTTTTAGCTGATCAAACTTTCAAAACAGCTAAAAGGTCCAAAAAAGCTAAAAGTTAGCGGAAACGCCAATAACCAAACGTAGCCTAAGTATGGGACTTGATCATAATTACTACGAATCGAAAAATAATCGTTCACCATTTTATTATTTCATAATCGAACCAACAAAAAAAAATTTAAAGACTTCACAAATAACCGTATCCAGAACAGAACCGAAATTAACAACCAAATTATAATATTAGATGTGTGTTAACGTTGTTAATATATTTTATGCCAACTTTAATCATACATAATTTGAGTATTTTTAAAATTTAAATAAAATATAGTAATAACAGTTAAACTACACTTAATTTTATGTTTACTAATACTTGATCTTTTTTTTTCTTTTTTAAAAAATTATTTAAAATAGTATGAAAGGTCAAAGAAATATTTTCTAAGAAAAAAACTAAAGTATACTTTGTTTGAATTTTAAATTTTTATTATTAGTTGCACAAATTTAGTGTTAACTAAGATTTTGAGTTACTTCTAAAATTGATTCTAAAATAAAATCTTTAATATGGTGAAGTATTGTTGAATGATTATTTTTTTTAAAGAGCATATGAAAATTTAGATATTACTAGTAGTATTCAAAAGAATTTATAAGTAATTAGAAACCTCCGAAGCTCCAAACCGAATCAAAATCGAACCGGACCGTTCCAATAGTCTCGAATGCTGAACCAAATCGAAAAATAAAAATCTCCGAATCGAATCGTTCTTAATTTTTCGATACGATTTTCGGGGTTGAATGTTACTGATCTCTGAGATTCGGTTTGGCTAGGAGACTCACGACCTTTGATTGTTGTTCGCGGGCGAGTGCTCTTTTGTGCAGTAGGCGACTCACAAGCCTTAGGAGTTCGTGGGCGAGTGTCCTTATTGCGAGCTGAGCGACTCACAAACCAAGAAGAGGCGTCTCGCGGGCTAGCGTCAGGCTATCTCGGCGATGACGTGCGGGCATTGAAAGGCATCCTTGTCGACACATATGATGTATGCAGCACAACCTGGGTAAAGTTTGGGCCTGCGTATGGGAGTGCAGCCAGGGCCTGGCTTGAGCTCGCTGGATGCTCGGCTCTCTCCAAAAAAATTCATGTTTGTTCGGCCCTTATTGAAGTAATTTTTCACCTTTTTGCAAATTCTACTTTGGCCCAATTGAGTTATATTTCTTTGGCCCATTTGGATTTATTCTTGGCCCATTTCCTTTGCAATCTCTCTGCAGCTTCTTGGCCCGCTCCAGCCCAGTGCGGCCCGCCTTCAGCAGTAGAAGCCCGCAACCCTGCGAGGGGCCCGATTCCGGCCCGCGAGCCATCTGCTGGTAGCAGACTCATTGTTTTGCGGCCCATTTGCACGTTCCAAGCCCAGTTTCATATGAATTTTTGGCCAGATTTCGGATAACAACCCAATGGGGCTTTTTGGCTCGATTTGTGTTCCGGGAGTTTATTTTTCGTGTCGAACCCATTTTTCAAATTATTATAAAATGAGAAAAATTCGGAAAATTATTTTTAAGTCCCAAGACCCCATTTTCATTCTCTGGGTCTTTTTTTTTTTTAATTTTGCTCCAAGTCCATGAAAAATTCGATAAAATCCCTTAATCATTATTTTTTATTAAGTATAATTTATCTATTGATTTTATAATATCAGGATAATATATTTATGAGATTATCTTGATTTATTGTAGGTTTTTGAAGAGTCAAGCCTTATGAGATTATCTTGATTAAATGTAGGTTTTTGAAGAGTCGAGCCTCACCGACCTACCGAATTATTTGTGTGCTTTTTCTACCTCGTCTTTCAAGTGGGTTTATTAAATATCTATGCCATAAATTATTTATATTTGTTGGACAGTATGATCAATGTATGCGTGTGAACTATGTAACCTTCGATGTGTGCTATTTAGACCTTCGTAACGGTTATCCCCGTCGTTTTGTGCTGTTTAGACCTTCGACGGTGCTAATGACAGGCAGTCTCCCTTAGCCTAATGACAGACCATGTCGTTGTGTACTGTTTAAACATTCAACATGTACTCCCATTGTTGAGTGTTGTTTAGACCTTCAGTGGCTAATGATAGGTATGCACATGAGTATTATATGATTAGGAGATGTGATATTATGATTGATTCATGTTCATGCTGCAACCATACTTATCTATCCTTATAATTGGTTT